TGCTGATACAGACTCTTTTCTCCTAGTTTCCCAAAATAAAACACATTTTGGGATATGCATATGCCCATAGAAATTATTTTGTAAGTGGAGACTTAGTCTAGTTGGAATAGACCACATATTATTAGCGGGACGTTATGGAATATCAGGGTTTTGTGAACTGCACTGAGAATCCAATCACTTCTGATGTGTGAACAACCTACTTTGCAAACCACTTTGAGATCTCAAATCACGACTGAGTTTGGGACAGTCTGTTCCAGGCCTGCTGGTGGGTGTTGCCAGAGTTTCGGGAAGAACTGTTGAGAAGCTGAATTTAGGAGGATGAGGAAATAGGTCCTTCAGAATGGAACATGCTGAATGAGTTTCCCGGGGTTTGCTGATAGCCTGAGGGTTTGGCACCTTGGCCATGTTTCCAAAAAACTCTCCAGAAGCACCCCCTCCCCAGCCTTTTCCTATTATTCTCTAATAATGAATTGCTTCTGAGGCTTGGATCTTGCCTCACTTGACCCTACTCACCCACAAACCATGCCCCCTTCTGAGCAGGGAGGTGTGTGTGGCTTTCAAGGAACGTAACTTGAAGAAGGACTCACTGCTGCCCTTTTGTTCCCTAAAAGACCTCTCTTTCCTCTACCAAAATGATGAGCATGACTAGTCAAAGGAAAGCCCCATTTGCTGTGGCCTTCTTATGTTGCTTGACCCTTCTAGGGTCCTCTCTCAGACCCCGTTTCAGATCTTTGTGTAGAGACCTCTTATACCGTTGGCCCCCTCCAGCTGACTTCAGCCTGGCCACACATGGAATGTGTGTCCTTGAACAATGGAGTGGCTAGACCTTAGTTTGCCCAGATTTTCCCTGTCTCTGTAGGTACCCTTCTAAGGAAGCCGACCTTCCTGCCACAAAGTCCTCTATCTTTCTAAACCCACTGAGGGGTCCAGAAATTAGAACTGAATCTCTGAATTTAAAATGTGGAATGAGTCAGAGGGTTGACTCACGTGCAGCTGGGGTGGTGCTGGGGTAGCTGGAGGAGGAGAGAGGTCCCAGCCTGTTTCTGGTTAGCATTTCACAGCCCTGTGAAAACTGGCACAGTTAGACTTCTGGTGTCTTGTGGGAAAAGAATGTGTTCTGATGAGCTTGAGCCTTCCAGAAGTCTGCCTCAGGGAAGATGAGAAACAGACTGGCATCCCTCTAATGAACAGACTCCCCTACCTCCTTTTCTGAGGGCCCTCCAAGATGGAGGAAAGAGACCTTGGGTGGGCAGGCACCCTCTGGAGTCTGTGGTGGCTGGACTAAGCAGGCATTTCTCTGACCTTACCACAGGATTTGATACGGTGGGAAGGTCAGAGCTAGCAACATCAGAAGACGAGGTTGATGTGCTTCCATAAGTCAATGGAGAGTAACCGGGTACAGGCCCCTTGCTGAAATGCTTGAGAAATGGGGAGAGATTGTTCTGTCTCCTTCAGATGGGCCTGAGCTCCTAAAAGAAGCTGAGAAATCCACTCCAGGGAGAAGGGTGGAGTGGGGCAAAGAAAGCCAAGTTCCCCACCTCCCCACTGGTTTTGCCAAAGTCTTCTGATAGAAGGTCTTTTCCTCTCCATCCTTCTAGCCCTTGGACTCACCGATCCCTGTCCTCTAGATTTTTAGGGGAAGATCCTAATGGTCTAACGGTCTAAATTCTAGAAGACTCCACTCTCACCAGAGGAAGCCGGCCATGGCCACCCACTGCAGGAGTCTCAGGCGTGAATTCTTAGGAAGCCTACACTATGTTTGTCTCTGGCATAAACACCTGTGCCCACATCAAGCCAGGGAGCAGCAGGTCCTACCCATTGTTGCACCCTGCTCTTCCTGGCTTCAGGGCTCCCTGCCTCCAGGACAGCCAGGTGCTACATCCCTGAGGGCAGTGCTACCTGGTGAAAGAAGCCTTGTCTTCTGCAGGTGAATTTCGTATGAGTCACGGCCTGGGCCAGAGTGGATTTGGCCCCAGTCAGGCCTGGCATAAGGAAAAGAGAGTTCATGAAGAGATCTTGGATCGATTTGGAATGCAGAAGAGCCAAAGAGGAACTCCAGAGACTTGCAGTTGGGGCCAATTTTAAAATACACATTTTAATAAAGGCAGTTCCTGACACGGAATTGACATTCGAAAAGTTAATAATAACAAATGACCCCCAGAGGGTTTTGCCTCCTGGACATTTCATTAGGTGGAATTTTGTGAGGATTTTTGTGGCACTGGCATACCGTGCAATGTGCCATGTGAGGATTTAATAAGCCGGTCAACATTTCTATGATCTTCGATGACCATTAAATGTCCCACAAAAAAAATAATTTTACCAACCAAGCCAGCAACAGTGTTCTAATAGATGTGAATGTCGAAAAATAATAAGAGATCAGAGAAATCAAGAACTAGACTCTTAGGGATCCCTGGGTGGCGCAGCGGTTTAACGCCTGCCTTTGGCCCAGGGCGCCATCCTGGAGACCCGGGATCGAGTCCCACGTCGGGCTCCCTGCATGGAGCCTGCTTCTCCTTCTGCCTGTGTCTCTGCTTCTCTCTCTCTCTCTCTCTGTGACTATCATAAATAAATTTAAAAATTAAAAAAAAAGAACTAGACTCTTAAAAGAAACACTTATTCTTTAGGCCTTCATCTACCATGTGCCTGTGCTCCAGCAGCTAGCCTGCCCTCGTGTGTCCCACACACGTGCCTCTGGGCTGCGCATCACAGTCTGCACCACTGCAAAGCCGGCCAGCCCTCCCCGTCCCTTGTGCAATGCACCATCTCACCTATTTTGCTATCAAAATACCTCTTTACTGGGTCAATTCCACTCCCTGCACATAGGCCTTGCAATCGGTCTTAATGCTTCCAGTGTGTTCGTTGCACTGCTCCCGTCATGATCTTCAACCTTCCAGGATTTTCCTTAGGATACAATCCAAACCCCTTCCCAGGACACACAAGCCCTCCAGGAGCGGCCATGCCTCACCCTGCTTAGACCTGCATGCTGGTCATACTGAACTTTATTTCATGCCATTCATTCCCCCTCCCCCACCAGCCCCTGATAACCACCATTCTACTCTCTTTCTATGAATTTGTCTATTCTAGTTTCTTCATATAAGTGGAGTCATGCAATGTTTGTACCTTTGGGTCTGGCTTTTTTCGGTTAGCATAATGTCTTCCATTTTGTATGTAGCGGGTATCAGAATTTCCTTCCTTTTTAAGGCTCAGTAATATTCCATTTTATGTGTCTATCACATTTTGTTTATCCATTCATTTGTTGATGGACATTTGGATTGTTTCCACCTTTTTGGCTATTATGTATAGCCCTGCTATAAATGCTGGTGTACAAGTCCTGCTTTAAATTATTTGGGGTATATACCCAGAAATGTAAATGTTGAATCTTATGGTGGTTGTATTTAAGTTTTTTGAAGGAACTGCCATACCATCTTCCATCACGGCCGCACCATTTTGCATTCCTTCCAGCAATGTACTAAGGGCTCTAACTTTTTCTTCGTCTTATACAAACAACACTTTATGTTTTCTGTTTGCTGTCATTGTTATTGATAATAGCCATCCTGATGAATGTGAAAGGATATCTCATTGTGGTTAGGATTGGAACAATACTGTGGTTGCTTCTTCAATGAACTGTGTGCCACAGTAGGCTGAAGTTTGTGAAGGCAACACTCATGCCTTTGTCTCTGTCACCTCCCTGTCCCCTACTCCAGCAGAGTGCCTGCCCACAGTCGCTATTGGCCAAATAACTGACCAACTGAGGATGAATAAAATTTGGTCCAGGAGGTTTTTCAGGACTCAGCATTCAAGTTTTCCCCTGTCTGGATGACCTTAACAAGAGGACACCTTATCCTTCCTTGGTGTTCCTGGGACAGGCCTCCTGTTCATTCCATGGGAGAGTTCTGTAGGCCAGGAGTTTTCAAATGTGCCCTATACAAACATCAGTGTAGAGGACAGGTAGGGGTGGGACTAGGGGGACCAAGCATGTGTGCCTGGGGAAGAGAGAGAGCAATGAGGAGGGCAGACCCTTACCCCACCATCCAGGGCAGGCTGGGGCACAGTTGAGCATGAGAGGCAGATCTGGTCCACAGCCCTCATATTTCCTCTCCTTGGGGCTTTGAGGCCTACATAGATCAGTGCTTTACCCTCTCTGGCAGTACCTCAAATGAGAATTAAAGGGAATTATGTTAGTGTGAAATGACAAACTCATAGAGCAAGATCAGTGATGTTAGTGGTGTCCATTGGCTTGGACAAGGTATGAGAAAAAGGGATCTTCTGGAAGAGAGCCCTCAAGAGCTCTTGAGGCCTTGGAGAGCTGACAGTGCTGATTGGTTAGTGTGGGCCAAGTTAAAAACAATGGCATGGAAGTGGCAGTCACAGGCAGCATGGTGCTCACAGCATGCTGGGAGTCTCTGGGACCCTCCCAGAAAGGAGGGATTGAACTTGAAGGTCTCCAGTCCTTTCCAGCAACCCAAATTGTAGGATTCTTGGTTGCTGCCCACATTCAGTAAGGACATTAAATGCCTTTGTGTGACACAGTGCCAGGCTTCTCCAGGAATCAGGCTCCAGGGGTCATGACACAGGAGGGATGCATCCCAGGTGGGGATGACACTATCCTCTGTGTCTTCTGTGAGCCTTTGTCCTGCTAAAGAGAACCACACCCCAGGGACCCCAAGTCCGAGGTTGAGCACAGAGCATTTCAGTCCAGCAGGCCTGGATTTTGATCCTGGATCCCCCTTTTTCAACTGAGCAACCCTTTCCTCTGGGAATACCGGTATCAACCTCCATGATCAGCTCCCTGCCTGTACCCACAGAGGACAAAGAATGGATAGCCATGGGTGGAAGATTCCTCTCACCCAAGAAGGGCTGCTCCTGGAACAGGGAGCCCACACTCTGACCTTTGTGTCTACAGTCACTTCCCAAAGGCCTGAGAGAAAGGCCAGATTTGGAGGCCAGCTGGTGGAACTAGAAGACCAGGTGGTGGTTACTGGCGTGCTCTCTCATTACAGGGAACAGCAGCCACTTCCAAGCTGAGCTCTGTCAGAAGCACTGGCAGGACCTGCCCCCTAGTAAGTGCCATAGCACCACCCAGGACTCCCGGAAGGAGACCAGCAGCATGTGGGGTCTCATGGTGGTCGCCCAGCTGCTGGCAGGCGTCGGGACGGTGCCCATTCAGCCATTCGGAATCTCCTATGTGGATGACTTCTCTGAGCCCAACAACTCACCCCTGTACATCTGTGAGTCACAGGCTTGAGGAGGGCTATGGGGATGTGGCCGCGTCCTGAAGTGGCACTCGCTCAGGTTTGGGGGGAAGACATGTGGTTTGAATGCCAGCTCTATTACCTAGCAACTGTGTGATCCTGGGCAGGTGACTGGACCCCAGGGCCCCAGGTTCCTCTCCTGCAGAGCGGTATCTGCATTGGGCAGCTGTGGGATTACATAAGTAATGTATGTAACCACTTAGGCCCACACTGGGCATGGGGGAGCTCCTTTAACAGCCCCTGAAAATGCTGCTGTCCAATCCTCCAGGTATAGGCCGGGGTACACTTGTCTTCCCAAACTGTCCACTTAGGCCTCAAAGAAGCACAAGCAAAGCAGATAACAAATGACCATCTCACTGCCCCCATCCTTCCCTTAGAACAAGCCGCAATGAGCATTCTTGAGGCCCACGCCTCCAACAAGACAGAGCACACCCACTGGCTCCGTGGCCCCACAGCTCCTGTCAGGGTTCCCAGCATTGTACTTGCAGGGAGCTTCGCCCACCAGCACACCCAGCAGGAATCGTTAAATGCTGGGGAGACTTTCCCTCCTGGCAAGTGGGTCTCTTTGGTAGCTGGCTGGAGGAGAAACAGCCTTGGTTCCACACATCTCAGGATCTTGGGTGATTCTAGTCTTGTCTATGGGAAATGCCCTCGATGTGGACTTGCGAGGGCCAGGGGACAGATGGGGTGACATCTCAGGAATCCCTCAGCTAGGGAAAGAACCCGGGGCTGCCACACCCTCTCAAGCTCCCTCAGCCTCCTTTTCCTTCCCTGCTTTCCAGCCATCTTATTTGCCATCTCTGTGTTTGGACCGGCCTTCGGATACCTGCTGGGCTCCGTCATGCTGCAGATCTTTGTGGACTATGGCCGAGTGGACACAGGTGAGCGTGTGCAAGGATGCCCATCCCACCACTGGTTCCAGGGGACAGCCTCCCCAAGCCCCAGCCAGGCAGGGCAGAAGATGAGCTTTAACTCCAGATGCTTGGGCTTCCTCTTTCCCTCACTCATTCGCTCCTGCAGAGCCTCAGGCAGCCGGGAGCAAACTGCGTGCTTCCTCTTGCACAGGACACTTTCTGTCCTCGAGAAGTGTGTAGCAGGAAACCTAGAAACTTGGGACAGGGCTTCAGCTGTTGCTACCATAGCTGCCCATCTTGGTAGTGGTATTAAAAATAGTTTTACCGTTCTTGGATTCAAAGATGGTGTTGATTATTAAAAAAAAAGATTTAATAAGAGCTCTTTTGAGGATAAAGAGGCACTACGTAAAATATACACATGGATTATGATTCACATCATGTTCAACTCTGTGAACACTGGTAGTAAACAAACTGGGTCTAATCCTGGTTCTACCTCTTACTGGGTGAGTGATCTATATCTTTCTGTGCCTCAGTTTCCTCACCTGTAAAATGGGGCTAATGGTAGTAAAATAAAGTTGTTGTAAGGATTAGAACATGCCTGATATATATATTTAGAGGTTAATAGGTATGAGCTCTTATTCTTCACAAAATGGTATGGACTAAATTGCTGTATATCTTAGAATGAGGAAATATGGTCCGTAGACCAGGACACATGAGGTGTCCACAGGTCCTGAGGTGACCACCCATGGAGCCAGCCTCCCAGTGAATCCTGCAAGGGCTCATGGCCTTTGTAAGATTGTCCTATGCCACCCAGCCTCCCAGAGGGCAGGGAGAGCCAGCACTGTCACAGAGGGGCAGGCAAAGTGCCTTGGAAGGTCCAAGGCAGGAGACAGTGCTCCTGCCTGAGGTGGTCAGGGAGGGCTTCCTAGGCAGCTGACATCTGCATTCATCCCCATTGGTGGGTGGGATTTCTGCAGGTAGTACTGGGAAGGAAGGCCTTCCAAGGGGAGAAAAACACCTGGACAAAGGCAAGAGATGGAAGATGTGTGGAATGTGGGGATGAATCAGAAAGTTCCCACCCACCAGAAGATGTGACTAGGTGGCAGGTCTGAGCCAGACACACAGGAATAATACTCCCACCAGTTCCTGGCACACAGACCGGAGTTTGCCTATTACACAAAGAATATGGACAGACATTAAAGCCACCATCCTGCCAGAGTCCACAGATTCCTGTTCCTGGGTACTGTCAGACCATGATGTCTTCATTGAGGTGTCACCTGCCTTTACTTCACATGACAAGGAAAAGCCAGGAGGAGCTTTCTGCCTCAGAGTCAAGCCATCTTTGCCCTTTTCCTGGCACTTCCTGAATCAGTTCCTGCCTCTTGGTTGCCCAAGGAGACTTGCAGCTGAGCTCCCAGGACCAAGGGCAGTGCCCAGAGATGCCTGGCATGTTTGACTGAGGGCCATTCTGCTACCTTCTCCCTCCCTCCATGCCCACATGGTTTCTTTACAGCAAGAGGCACAATGGCAGACTCTCAGATGCAGATGGGAGACATTGACTGGGTGAAGCATCTCCTTTGGAGGCCAAGCAGCTCACTCTGATGATAGTTGTTCCCTCAGGCTCTTAAGGATTATGAGTTCTCCTCCTTTCTTAGGGATCAGTAAAGTGGGGAGGCAGTAGCATTCAGTGATTAGGAATGGGTTTGGATACCAGGGAGACATGGGTTTAAAATCGACCAAAAATAGTACTACTAGCCCTAACCTTGGAGCAGGGCAAAGCTAATATCTCTGATCCTCAGTCTTCTGATTGGTTGGAGGTGGGTGGATGCAGCCTCCTTCATTGATATACCTACCAAAGGTTGGGAATAAAATAAGATGAGGTCCAGGTTCTGATTCCTTCAGCCTGGGGATTATCTCATGCTCTGCTTCATGCACAGTGGCCACCATGCTCTGGAGACCAGATGGCCTGGAGAGGGAATGCTGTCTTGACCCAGATTCTAGCTCATGCCTCACCTCTTCTGCATCATGGGAAGACAGCCCCCCTGATCAGAGGCCCTCTTTCCAGTAGAATGAGATCTCGCATTCACTCAGAAAGCACTTGTTCTCTTTGCTTTCTTTCTAGCTGTGGTTAACCTGAGCCCTGGAGATCCCCGGTGGATTGGAGCATGGTGGCTGGGACTGCTCATCTCCTCAGCCTCCTTGGTTCTTACCTCTTTTCCCTTTTTTTTCTTTCCTCGAGCAATGCTCAAGGAAGCGGAGGTAAGGTTCTGAGAGCCCATTACTCTGCCTCTTAGAGTTCAAGAAAGGGAGGTATGGGGAAATAATAAACTGAACTGAGAAACTGCAGCATGTTAAGCAAATTCTGGGTGAAATCTAAACAAGTTGCATGACACAGGACTTCTCAGAGGCTTTGAGAGGTGAGAGTGTTGGTGAATTTCCAGACAGCCTCTCACCAGAGTGCCCTTCCCACGTCAGGCATCAGGAGGGTTCCAGGGAAAATAATTTGGGAAACACCAAATTCATAGTAAAGAGCCAGGAAAAGCCAAGTATATGGACTGGCACAGTTGGCCCCTCATGTGTGAACCTGCAGGACTGAGTGGGAAGGAAAGCTCTAGAGCTGAAGAGCATGAGGGTGGGCTGAGAATGAGTTGACTGCGTGGATGGACCTTCTGTGTGTCTGCCAGCCCTGCCTCCTGGGAAAGAAGTCAGGAAAGGATGAGAATGGAAAACAGAGACAAGAAAGCTGGGTGGGGCTTTGATGTTAGGGTCTAAAACTTGTTCTGATCCCATGAAGTTCCTGGGGCACTGCAGTGACTGGGTGACCACATAGGTGGCATCATGGCAGCTGGGTTGAGGTCAGGGAGTCAGGAAGGAGGGAAGGCTGGCCATCTGAAGAAGTCTGTGTAGAGATGAGGGATGAGGCTGAGCGCCAGCGCAGTGGTTGCCAAACAGCTGAGGCAGGACACGGAGAGATGTTCTTGGAGGGGGTGCCAAGTACTCAGCAGTGGGCAGACTGGAGGAGAAGCAGACGAAATTGGCACCAAGGTTTCAAGCCAGAGCCCGAGCTCAACATCTGGCAGTGAGGTGTGTGAGATCTAGGCCCAGCTGTGGGAGGAGTGGCAAGGGTGGGAGAGCCTCCACCTGTCTTAGGGAAGAACTTCAGAGGTTGTCAGTGCATCGTGGTGGTTTGGGGGTCAGGCAAACCTGAGCCTTAATGCCACTTAAAACCTAGCGGAGTGATCTTGGGCAAGTTGCCCTGTTTCTACATTTCCTTTAAAATACTGGAGATAGAGCACCTGTCTCAGAGGAGGCTGTGAGGAGTGGAGATGTGTGTGGAAGGCTGGGCACGGTGCCCGATGTGGAGTATGCTCGCAGTACATGGAGCTCCTGGGCCTGGTGGTGTGTTCCCCTGGGAAGCCCTAATGGCATCAGAGCCCGGGGCCCTTGCACTCCTCATGTAGGGGTTCAGAGCTACAGCTGACAAGTTCACAAGAGGTAGGTGAGCTCACTGAGGTGGTATGCATAAAAGCATGGGCCAGGGGCCAGGACACAGCCTGGAGTGGGACTCAACTTTGGGACCAGAATGAAGCAGGGACTCCATAGAGGAGATGGAAAGAAAGAGCTGGAAGCAGAGGTCATTGTGGACCAGTGTATCCCAGAAGCCTGCCAGCCCTGGAATCTGAGGACAGCGAGGAAGTGTAGCCATGACAGACAGACAAGATCTAATCAGTCATCTTTTGGCATCAGTCAAGAGAAAGCTAGATATGAATAACATGCCCAGAGGGATCCCAGGAGGCTTTGGCATGGATGTGTTCTGGCCAGCAGCCACCGCACTGGGCTCACTGACATGCAGGTGGCATTGGCTTCAAGCGAGTATTCTCTGGGCGCCCTCCCCCACACACCTGGGGCAGCTCACAGCTGCCCATCCCTGAGCCACCGACACCAGGAGGGGCAGGGGCCCAGGGTAGGGCCACCACAGGGAGTTTGGACCATTAACGCTCACCCCCTTTGCTGCCTTCAGAGGTCTCCTGCCATAGTGGATGAAGCAAGGAAGATGGATGAGGCCAAGCCAAGAAGCTCCCTGGTGGATTTCATTAAACGTAACTAACCCCCCCAGCAAATCCCTGGGTGGGGTGGGGGGGTGTAGCACTGCCCTGAGGTGGGGGCAAGGAGTACCCCAGCCCACGCGGTGTTGTGCATAGGAAGGGGCAGCTAAAGCAGGTGGTCTGTAACTGGCCCATCTCCCAGGAGCGGTTCTGCTAGAGGCCCTGGTGACTGCCGCTGTGCAGGTTCCAGGAGACTCAGATTTAAGCAGAGTCAGCCCTGCCTCCATGGTGTGGCCCCCATGTTCTCTCCCTCCTTTCACATGGAGGTGGCTGTCATGTGTCATGCTTAACACCATGTTCCCAGTGTTAGCCCCATTTCTATCCAGCCCCCACCTGATATCTTCTAGGCATATCCTCACTTTGCTTAGCCTGTGAACATGTTGAGTGGGAGTCGAGAGGCTGTGTGCCCCTGGACCGGCCACTGAACATCTTGGTGCCTCAGATCTGCCCTGAGGAAGAGAGGAGAGCTGCCTAGAGGAGGAGGAAGGGCAGTGACCAGTCCCAAGGCACCCCTGTGGTGACCCTCACGAGGGCCCGGCCCCTGACAACCATCTGTTGACAGGGTTTCCTCGCATCTTCCTGAAGCTGCTGATGAACCCACTCTTCATGCTGGTGGTCCTGGCCCAGTGCACCTTCTCCTCGGTCATTGCTGGCCTCTCCACATTCCTCAACAAGTTTTTGGAGAAGCAGTATGGTGCCTCCGCAGCCTATGCCAACTTCCTCATCGGTGAGTCTGGAGGGTGAGGGCGCTGCAGGAGCTGGAGAGCCCTGCCTAGGCCCTGCCTGAGGGAGCAGCCGGGCCCTCCGCTGCCCATCCAGGGACGGGAGAGGCCAGACCGGACACAGACAAGAGCCAGAGGAGGACTGGCCCAAAGGAAAGAATTTTAAGGACATTTTTCCTGGTTAGCAATCTAGAATGTTCTTAGCAAATCTCTGGGGTCCCTATCATTCCAGGCAGGGGTGGGCAGAGGATAGGATCTGTCTTCTTCTCTGTCAGAGGGGCTGGAAGACTGACAGCCTCCCAAAGGCCCTGACACCATCAGAGGCAACAGAGTAAAGAGAAAAGGTAGAAATTGGGGTTAGGGAAAATGCCTCCTGTTTTTTTTTTCCCTTTTTCACCAAGGACTTGAATACCCGCTTGGGTAAGGAGTATGTGGCCCAGTGATTCTCCACCCTGGCTGCACTTTAGGATCCCCTGGACAGCTTTAAAAAAAATACAGATACCCAGGCTGCTTGCTCAGCCAATAAAAGCAGACTCTCTGGGTGGGCCCAGCATTGGTATTTTGTACAGCTGAGATTGAGGAGCACTGATGTGGTCCCACCAAGTACCAAAGTGAACTACTGAGCCCAGTCCACAGGTGAGCCTGGTCATCTGGAGATGGCAAGATGGTCAGGGCCTTAGCTGTGACCTCATCCCTTTAGCTTCAGTCACTAGCTAGCACATGAAATAGGGGCACCACCGTGTGATCCAGCTGGTATGATGAGGATGCAATGAGGGGCCAGGTAATGAAAGGCACCTAATAAATGCACCTTCAACCCACATCCCTCTGGCTGCAGGGGCTCCACTTGTTTCTTTATTCTTTGCATAAGCAGGGCTATCTGCTATGTAAGGGTAACTCTGTGGATATGCCTGGCAAACAGTAAATGCTCAATTAATGTCATTTATTACCATTAAAGTTGAATGTATCGAATGTTCCTTCAAGCAGCCATGCCCCCTTGCCCATGGTTCAGCTCAGTGTCTACCCCCAACTCCCAGTCCTTTGCACCCAGACCAGCTTCTCTTTGTTTGTAGGTGCCGTGAACCTCCCAGCTGCAGCACTTGGAATGCTGTTCGGAGGAATCCTCATGAAGCGTTTTGTTTTCTCTCTGCAAACCATTCCCCGCGTGGCTGCCACCATCATCACCATCTCCATGATTCTCTGCGCCCCTCTCTTCTTCATGGGATGCGCCACCCCCACGGTAGCGGAGGTCTATCCCCCCAGGTAATGGGAACGAGAGGTGAGAAGATCCCCTTTGCTGAGGCCAGAGCCTAGATCTGGCTGCCATACATCTTCCTTTCTGCTTCTTCAACTCTTTTCTCTCCTTTTTTACTTCTTGATCTAATCTCTTATGTGGCAACTTAGAAAATGGGCTCTTGAATCATATGCTTAATTATGAGGAGAAATCAGAGGTCCTAGTGAGCCCCACCAATCAGGGTCAGGGTTCTGTTTTTTAAGAAGCACCAAAAACTAATTAGTCTGGTTTCAGGATGAATCTGTAGGGCAGTGAGCCTCAGAAACCAGGAAATAAGCTATGTTTAGCATCAACTCTGTGCCGGCTACAATTACAAAGTCTCCTTGAGCTGCTGAAGAAAGATGAGAGGAGGGGACTTGAAAAGATCTGGGAAAGAACAATGGAAGTGATGGCAGACTCAAAAAATTGGGGCAGGTGAGGCAGAGGGCAGGTAAAGTATACCTGTCAGTTTGCATAAAGCAACCTGGTCCCAAGGTTTAAGTCTGGCTTCGTGTTCAGGAAGAGCTTTAGAGGCCCATGAGAGGAGGGTGCTGAGTGAAGGGCATTTATTTTTTCCTGGGTGCCCCTTCCAACCACCTCTTCTTTTAGGTTTTGCTTAATGAAGTTGCAATGTTTGGAGAAACTGTACCTTTAAGCCTTGGTGTTTTCTCTTTTTAAGATACTGTCTTTTGTCTTTGGTGGGTGAGAAGGGGTATGAGGGAAGGGAGACTGGCCCAGGGCAGGAACCCCCATTGAATTTGTATTGTTCTGCAGGCAGACTATGGATTAAGAGAAGCTGAGAAAGCTTTGAGCCTTTGGGTGGCTCTTACTAGGAGTGTTTGGGTTTTTTTAAGATTTATTTATTTATTTGAGAGAGAGCAGGGGAAAGGGTGGGGTGGGTAGAGAATCTCAAGCAGACTCCCCGCTGAGTGCAGAGCCCAACGCAGGGCTGGATCCCACGACCCTGGATCATGACCTGAGTTGAAATCACGAGCTGGATGCCTAACTGACTGAACCACCCAGGCGCCTCTCACCAGGAGTATTTAGCACAGGGCTTTGTCATCAGACTAGGGTGAGCTCTGGCACAGTTCTTTGTAGTTGGCAAAAGTTACTTATCTAATCTTCAGTTTTCTCTCATGAAAGGAATGTGATTAATTGTAGAGCTGTTGTGAGGGCAGCATAAAAAGTCTTGGGCACTGTGCCTGGCACCAAAGAGATATCCCATTAATATTAACCATCAGCAGTGTAATTATTTCAGCAGAGTCCTGGTCTGTGGTTTGTCAGTTTATCCCAAACCTCAGAGAAATGAAAATCAGATGTGGTGGTCGGGGGGTGGGAATGGTGAGATCAGCTGGTGGAACCCCTGGGTTGAAGCACAGGGGTGGAGGTTCAGTAACCTGGGCAACATCTACATAGACCCAGAGACAGGAGCCCTCCAGACCCCAGATGCCCTCCAGGGGCCCCAGCCTTTTCTCAACCAGGGCCCAGGTGGAGGGGGAGGGAAGGGAAATATTGCCTATGACTCTGGCATAGCATCTGCCATTTCTTTCATCGGAGTCCTGGTTGGTTGGTTGGTTGTCTTGATGCTCTTCTGCAGCACGGGGTTTGCTGACCGAGTCTTTCTGACCAGCAGTTGGCGGTGCCACGGGCACTGACCAAGCCGTCAAATCACCACTGGCTCCAATAGGCATAACTCCGATCCCAGGGTGGCACTGTCCCAAGACAAACAGAGACTCACAGGCATACTAACCAGGCGGGGAACTCACCCTGGGCTGGCGTGGGGAGGTTTTTCTTTGGTCTCGCTTTGTTTGATTCCCCATTTCCTGTTTTGCTGGCAGGACATCAAGTCCTATACATCCGCAGCCTCCTGCCTGCCGCAGGCACTGCTCGTGCCCAGACTCCATCTTCCACCCAGTGTGTGGAGACAACGGAGTAGAGTACCTCTCGCCGTGCCACGCCGGCTGCAGCAAAATCAACGTCACCTCCATAGCCTCCAAGCAGCTGGTAAGGGCATGAGAAGCCCTGTGCGGTCTCTGTGCTCAGCTTGTGCCCTCGCAGGCTGCTCCTCGGCTCCAGGATGGATGAATGCCACCCACGCCACACTCGTTCCCAGCCTCCTGGCCCCTGGGCCACACCCGCTCCCTCTCCGCCTCTCCTTCCCTAAGGTCATGACCAGATGCCTACAGCCCAGAGTCAATTAAAGATTGGCTAATGTTCAAAAAAATCACATTCCTGAGGCCCAACAATGCTCAGAGCAGAAACAAGCCAAAGCATTCCTTCAGCTGAGGCCTTTGAGTATCATCCTGACAGATCCTAAGGGGCATCTCTGGGTCCTGCATCCTGGCTGTGTGGGAAGCCACAAGGACAGGCCCAGAGAAATTGCAGGCACGGGGCCTTCTGTGATCTGAACTCAGAAGGTTAGAACTAGAAATACGATCTAGGGTATTTGGTTGAACCCCTCAGCCCCAACATATGGCTACACAATGGGCCTGAGGTCATACAGCTATTTAGGGGCAGATCTGGGACTGGAACCCAGGATCCTGCCTCAGTTTCAGGCATACCTGGTCAAGGCCATGTATCTCCTGGCCACCAGCCTTCCATTTGTGCAGCCCACGTTCACTGTGCCCACGTGGTGAGGTTCTACTAGCCCTCTGAGTGCTCTGGCTCCTGGCTTCTACGTCAGCAAGCAGCAAACCAAGTCAAGACGTTTGTTCAGTTATTCAACAAATAGTGAATGTCCAGCACAGCCGTGGGTGTTGAGGACTCAGTGGAGAACCCATCAGACAAAGTCCCTGCTCTTGTCGAGTTTGCATTCTATCAAATAAATGCACAAGATAGTTTTAGAATGTAATCTGTGCCACGGAGATACTTAATGACTAGACTCTCTAGTTCCTGGGGGCCTCCCTAAGATGACATTAGAAGTGAACAACCAGAAGAAGAAAACCCTAGGAAGTTCTGGAAGTGAGGCATTCCAGGTAAAGTAACAGCAAGTGGAAGGCCCGAGGGCATGGAGAAAGCACAGAAGGCTAAGGTTGGCACTGAGAGGCATGTCATACCCAGGCCAAGGCTGGGCAGGCCAGGCCTAGGAGCCAGATGTTCCTTCTCCTAAAAGCAATGGGACATCTGTGCAGTTCTGCTAAGGATGCTCTAAGGAGGGGAATGCACCCCATTCCCTTAGGCCCATATGGAGGGCATGGATAAGGCTAGCCCCCACTTAGCATCCTCCTCCAAGAGCACAGGGAAGTGCTGCTCCCACAGCCACCTCCGTGGGCAAAGGGAGACAAAGCATGCAAACAAGATGGTCTCTCCATTGCCTTCTAATTGGAGGAGTCTCTGGTGGCTTCTGTGGTTTTCTTATCTTTATTTACTTACCTCTGATTCATCTACTTCTGGAAATCATCTTGACAGATCTCCAACAACAGCACAAATCCATTAGCGTAATATCAAGAAAAGACAATAAATTATAAGGGGAAAAAAATCTATGTGAAAAAAATGCAGACTGAGGGAAGTAACAGTCATATTGTATGTAACTTACTTCTGAGCTTCCCGGGAGCCAACATAAAGAGGGTACTGAGTTCCTGCTGTCTTCCAGAAGGAAGCATCCTGGCTCATTAGTTCCAGTCCTAGCCTTGTAACTGCTATGACATTTAAATGATCATAGGCTAGTCCATCAGGTGCTGTGAGAAGTAAGGTGAAGACCACCTGACATGGGCAGTGGCCACCAAGACCAGTTGTGTAAGAGTGCTGAACCTTATGAACTTGTAGACTGGAGACAGGGACTTCTTTCCCTAGAGTCCTTCACAGACAGGAGGCATTCCTCTCTGGTAGGAAGCTCTGGCAAAGGCCTGACAGATGAAGAGCTCAGTGGATTCCACTGGGTTCCCACTGCTGTCTCCTCCTGTCTATACCTTTCTTACCTTTCCCTGACAAAAAGGAGCATCCACAAAACCACTGCTACAAGACACAGGGCAGCCTGGCCCCAAAGAGAGCCCTCCAGCCCCTGGTCCCATGCTGGGTAGGCCTTGACTAGCAACAGGATCCCGCATGTCGTGATGTGGGTGGAACTGCAGGAGGGGCCCGGCCCATCCTAGATGACCGGTTTTGGTGACGATTGCCCAAACAGTGGTCAAAGGTGGTATCTGTGGGACACCTTGAAAACCTCACCAGGTCTGCTCTCCAGCCTCCACACGCAACATCGCCCAGCTCCCCAAGGCACAGGAGTCCAAACCTGGGGGACTCTTTGGCTAGAGCTGGTACCAGTGACAACATTTGAAGTGTGTGGTGGGTGAGAGGATGACAGGGTGTCTCCCTCTCCCCCTCCCTCTCCTTTCCAAGACTTATCTGAACTGCAGCTGTGTGACCGGGGCGTCTGCTTCAGCCAAGACGGGATCGTGCCCCATCCCCTGTGCCCACTTCCTGCTCCCAGCCATCTTCCTCATCTCCTTCGTGGCCCTCATAGCCTGCATCTCGCACAACCCACTCTACATGATGGTTCTGCGGTGAGTGCACCTTGGCCCCCACGCTGCCTGCTTCTGTCTCTCCTCCTTTCCTGGCACTGAAAGACCCCAGCCTCGGAAGGGCAGAGCCACGAATGGCTGAGCCACGATGAAGCCAGGCTGCCTGGCTCCACACTGTGGAAATACCCATAGATTCACTTATGTTTAAGTCCTGAAAGAACTAAAAGGAAGGAGGAGAATTCAGCTAGATGAAAGAAATCAAGGGAGAAAAATCTGGAAAGTTCCAGAGACTTGAGAGTGAAGCTATGAGAAAGGATGAAAACAACCCAGTGTGCTAGGAGCCAGGACCAAGTTCTCAGGTCAGAAGGGAAAGGCTGGCCACGCGGGAGGGGAGAGCAGAGGTGTCCCATTACAGTAGCGGTGGAATGCCTCTGAGGTTTTGAGAGGGAATTGACCCTTCCTTCACCTCGCCCTCTGCAAAGAGAAAACAACATTTCAACCAGTTCACCTAACCCACCCCTGCCCACCTCTTTCCTGTCCTCACCCACCTTGAAAACAGAGAGGGAGAAACATAGGATCTGGATATCCAGTGCTGGGGTCAAAGGCCCAGCTATGCCATACACTGGCTGGATGTCTTGAGTTGTTGCCAACCTTACTGAGTCTCAGTTTCCTCAGTTATGAAAAGACATTAATGATATTGACCACAAAGGACTGGTGTCAGGATTACCTGATAAATTGCTTTGTAAATCTAAGGTACTTTACATATTGGTTAATTATCCCTATTAACCAAATTCTAAGAATTACTAATAGCTAGCTAGGTGCCAGTGACCTATTTTTCCCAAAAGGCTAGGAGATGAAGAACTGAAGCAGCCACTTCTCTGGGGTTTTATGAGTTAGCTTGCAAACTACCAAGCTCCTATTTTTGTTACCGTTTCAAGAACGTTGGCAGGAGACAGGAGACTCCTGGTTCAAAGACAAAGGACTGTTACTCACAGGAGCATGCAAAGAGCAGGAACCTTGCATCATTTATCCTTGTGCCCCTCATCCCATGGAGTGACCTGAAATACCTACGTGTATGCTTCACGTGCAGTGAGCTTATGTCACAGTGAAGAATGCTGGGCTGGGAAGAGCCACCCACTGTGTAGACCAAGGCTGCTTTTGGTGTAGGGTAAGGTTTTACCCCATGCCCCAAGGTCACTCATCGCAACCACAACCCTGAGAAATGGCCCAGGAAAACAGCAGTCAGAACCTTGTGTTCTTAGTATATTCCACAGAAACCTGCGGGGATGCTCAGAGCCACAGCGTATTCCCCTCCCAACACCATCAGCACCCTGTTTCTACCACTCCCCACCCTGTGCATTTGAAGCACCAGTGCTTTCATTGAAGGCCCTTGAGTGGGATGACCTCTTGTACCAGGGCCGAATGGTACCCTGAGAAATATTTGTGGGTGGCCCTCTAACCCTGAGAAATATTTGTGGGTGGCCATGATGAGCAGAGGGAACAGAATAAGGGAACTGCACAGGGAAGTCCCTGAGCAGTAGGTAGGGACCAGTCCCAGTCAGTCTGCCTCCCAGAGGACTCCATCAAGCCCCAGGGTTAGGGAGGCTGCGGAAGAGGAGCATCATTTCAACCACAGGAGGGGCTTTCCTAGAAAACCTCTCCCTTCTAAGTCTTATCAGCGGCTGGAGCAAAACTAAAGAGGCCCCAGGATCCCAAAATTGTTTAAAGATAAATCCCATTAGGAAAGATGAGAGAATAGATGCTATTTAGTGCAAAGAAGGTGAGGCTTAAAGGTGACTTTGCAGGTGACCCACATGTTGTTTGTACCCTAGCCCCCAACTAGGTGTGGAAATACAGGCTGGGAGGGAAGGTTCACCAGAAATGTGGAAGGAGAGAGTGGTCCAAACATCAGAGTTAGTTCACAGCCAATGAGGGCAGAGACCAGAAGGGGCTTAAGCTGTCAGAAACCAAACTGTGGCGCCCAACCCCATTTGCTCCAGAATCTAGAGTAGTCTGCCCAGGGACAATAACCAGGACTTTTAGGAATGGGCACTGTAGGGACCTGTGGACATAAAGGGAGTATCCATTAGATTGAGATTTGAGCTACTTTCCATTGGGGAGAGGGGGTCGTAAGTGGGTGCCTCAAGCCCGTAAGTATTGCTTTCACTGGGCCATCCTGCAGAGGAACTGGAATAGGGCCCCTTTCCACTTTGCTAGCTGGACTGTGGGGCCATTGGTTCTGAGTTCCCTTCCTTGATGTCCCCTCCGCCCCCAGAAGGGTGGGTGTTCAGAACACAGAGAAGCCCTGGTGCCTCTGCAGGCTACCTCCTGGCTCCCCACCTTGTGGAGGGGGTGTCCTCCCTCTCTGCCCCATGCCCAGCTGGAATGGCAGGGCCTGGCAATACCACCACCTGATAGCTTCCCCCCATCTCCCTCCGAATCTCTTTCCTCGGCCAAATGCTTGTCTTCTCTTGAGGGAAAAAAGGTAGTGGCGAGACTGGCTATATAATTTGTAGGACCCAGTGCAAAATGAAAATGGGAGGCTCCTGGTTCCAAAATTATTGAGAATTTCAAGACAGCCACAGCAAAGCATTAAATCAAACCAGGAACCTTTCTGAAGGTAGGGCCCTGGGAGGCTGCACAGGCCATACGCCCACGATGCTGGCCCTAGGTAAAGGATTCTTCTAGTTGCACACAGAAGCCTATGGCCCAGGGGCCCTAATTACACTGTCATCAGGGCTGTCTTTATTGCTATTCACACTCTATGGGAGTTGTTCAGACCTGCTGCTGTGAACACACCCTTCCCCATGCTTCTCTCCATTCCCAGCCTCTTCTGCCCTCTGCCTCTTGAAGGGGGCACTGGGCAGCCCTGAAAATCAGAGACTAGTGGTTCCCAAATTTGAGTGTGCAACAGAATCTCCTGGAGGACTTCCTAATGCACAGATGGCTGCCTGCTCCCCCCCCCCCACTCAGTGTACCTGATTCTTAGGGCCTGAGGTAGGGCCTGGGAACCTGCATTTCTAATGAGTTCCCAGGGGTGGGGACTCATGCAGCTGGTCCAGTGATGGTGCTTTGAGAACTACTGATATAAATGACAAGGAGCTCTTGGTCAGGTGAATCCAGTCAGCCATGTGGCTGTCAGGCCACTTGAGGGTAGGATCTGGCATGTTCTAAGGCTGGCTGCCCCTGACTGAGTAAAGGCACAGCCCTGGGTCCTCTGGCTGCTGACTTCCTATTTTCCTTTTCAGTGTGGTGAACCAGGAAGAAAAGTCATTTGCCATTGGGGTACAGTTCTTGCTGATGCGCCTGCTGGGTAAGTGCCTGAGATGCCCCCTTCCCTCCTGAGGGATGGCACCAGGGCATCAGAGGGCTAAGAGGTGCAGGGTAGGGCTGAGGGAAGCCTTGTCTCATCTCTACTATAAAGGGAGGCCATGCATAATCAAATCAACACATCAGCAAGGGCCAAGACCCTATATGGGCGGTTTCCCCGTACTTGAGGTTAGGAAAGATTCCATCTATGGCATTAACTCCAAACAAAACTATGTAAGAAAAATGAAAAGTGGACACAGCTGAGAATACCTAATAAAGAACTGAAGGCAGGTATTTTTTTCATCTCTCTCCAAGAACTGGCTGTAGGAACAAAACCCTGCATTCCTGTCCCAGCCAGAACAGCAGCTGAGCCCAGCCCTGGCTTCTCTCCCATCTCACAAAACTCATTCCTCTTGCCTCTCTTCTGCAATTGTTTCTCAGTGCGGGGCCCTCTGCTGGCAAACCCTGCCTACGCTCAAGCAGCCCGAGCCTTCAGAGAAAAGGAGCCAGTGCACAAATGACCAGTAATGCTCCCTAGGAAGGCAGGCTGCCCTGGGGAGCAGGGAACACCTGGCTCTCCCTGGGGGCGTGGGCTGGGGGGGTGGGAGATGTGTGCACCTCACCCGCCCTTTCCCTGAGCCTCATGCTAGACCATCCCTTCTTGACACATCCAGGCAGTAATGTGCAGATCCTTGCTGTGACAGGTAAACCGAGTAAAGGGACTACCTTCAACTGAGTATTTTTTTTTTAAGATTTTATGTATTTATTCATTGAGAGAGAGAGAGAGAGAGAGAGAGAGAGAGAGAGAGAGAAAATGGCCGGGACATAGGCAGAGGGAGAAGCAGGCTCCATGCAGGGAACCTGACGTGGGACTCGATCCCGGATCTCCAGGATCACACCCCAGGCTGCAGGCGGTGCCAAACCGCTGCACCACCGGAGCTGCCCTCAACTGAGTATTGATTAAGGACCCAGTGGGTGCACACTGCAGTGGGGAGTATGGCAGTTGCAGTGGAGGGACTTTAGCCGCTATCAGATTGTACTTTCTGACCTCAAATGCTGAAATTCCTGCAAAGGCCACTGTGCCTTATTATCTGGGAGCCCGGCTGCACGTGACTGACCTTCCAGCGGCTTCCATTATCGTTCTGGGGTGGGTTGGTGATGTCCCTTCTGGGGCCTGCTGAGCAAGAAGCTTTGCAGGGCCCTCTCCCACAAAGATTGGGAGAGGAGTGCAGATGATGAGGAACAAACCAGCCTTTTCCACGGGATTTCTCCATGTTGGGCCACTTGCTCTCCTCGTCCCAGCACTGCCCCTTCAGAGCCTGCTCCTCAGGCCTGTATTAGCAGCATGGAAGGATGCAGGGCATGGAGGATGCAGGGCAGCGAGGCCTCCCCTGTCCTGGTGGCAGAGGCACTGCCGTCATCATAGCTGCTTCCTATCACGCATAATTCACATGGGGCTTGCTGTGAAACCTCTGCTGGGAAGGAAGCCCCAGGTTCTGTCCAGCACAGCCAGCGGCCAGAATGGGCTCTGAAGAGCTTCTCCCAGCCACCTGAAAAACAACCACAATCCCACTGCTCAAAGCACCTGCTGCCTTTGTTTTGTCACTTGAGCTCAGACAACTTGATATGGGATCACAGAAAATCCGGGCTGGAGGCATTCCATTCATCACCCAAGAACACAATCGCACTCTGGGGTAGAAAGAAGGCCTTCACGTGGATAAAACCCAGCAAGTTTAAAATTACCCACTGGGACTTGGTTGAAAATTTCTCTGGACTTCATTTCTATTTAGGGTAGTAGCATCCTTGGTGGACCATCCCTGTGGCCAGTTTCCATCCCCTGCTTAGCTGGAGACTTGGAAGCAAGCAGGGTCTGAGTAGACAGGCTGGTTTTCCAAAGTTCCCAATTATGGGTGGAGCCACAAGCAGATCTCTCTTTCCTCCTGAAGCAGCTTCTCACAGAGCCCTCAACAGAGCAAGGCTATTCTGAGCACAGTGGTTCAGGGCGTGGATCCTGGACAAATCCCTTCCCGGTTGGTTCAGTGACTGCCTAGAACTATAGCTAACAATACGGGGGTCATCCGGAATATTTTGCAGCAGGAAGACATACATAGCTTCTGCTGGATCAGGTCTCACCACCCAGCTGTGGGGAAGTTCAGGCGGCTGGGGTAGAGGCTCTGCGCAGCCAGGGTGTTGGGGGTCTTCTGGGGGTGTTGTCTAAGCCAGCGGGGCAACCTAGTACAGTAGAAGAGCATGGGCTTTGAGGAAACTAGGGTTCACAGTCCAGTCCTGACCCTCTTGGCTACACAAGCATGATGTAGCCGTGCCCACCTTCTTCCTCCCTAAAACAAGGGCACCCAGCCATCTCCAGTCCCTATGAGGACTTGAGGGTTTCCATGTCCTCAGGAGACTCCTGCCACACCGTAGAGGTCAGCATATCTCCACTTGAGGCCCTTCCAAGTGTTGCCTGTCTGAGCTGGCATCAGGGTGACCTCTGTGACTCACTGCTCTGAAAGGATGGCTCCGGTCCCTTTTCTCTTCTAAGCCTCTAGTGAAAGAGGAGTTCAGGCTTCCCAGAAAGCTATTTGGCTTTCCAAAGTCACTGTGGTTCCCAGGGGTGAGGCAGAGCTGTTCTCATTCATGGGAAACACACAGGGGCACTGGGGAGAGGGAGCTCACTCCCCACCCTGCCGGGCACCTCTGCCTGCAGCTCCATGTAACCTGGGCTCTCTGAATTCTCTTCCTGCTGACGCCAGCCTGGCTGCCGTCTCCAGCCCTCTACGGCCTCACCATCGACTACTCCTGCATCAAGTGGAACTTTCAGTGCTCAGGGAGGCGCGGGGCCTGTGCCTACTATGACAATGATGCTCTCCGAGACAGGTGAGGACCCAGCATGACCCTGTGGTCCAGGGGGTGTCAGGCCCCAGGCCAGAGCAGAGGGCAGCCATCTGCTCTGGTGACTTTTGTGGGGTTAAAGGCAAGGGCCAGAGGGGTGTTGCCATGGACAGAGAGCAGGGTCACTGATGACAGAGAACCATCTGGGTAGTAGAGAGAGAGTGTGTGTGTGTGTGTGTGTGTGTGGTGTATGTGTGGTGTGTGTGGTGTGGTGTGTGTGGGGCGTGAGGTGTGAGGTGTGTGTGTGGGGTGTGGGGGGTATGAGGTGTGAGATGTGTGTGGGTGTAGGGTGTGAGGTGTGTGTGTGGGGGGTGTAAGGTGTGAGGTGTGGTGTGTGTGCGGTGTGAGGTGTGTGGTGTGGCGGGACCTGGGGCGAGGCCGTGGCTCTGGAAGGATGCCAGGCCAGCTCCCACTGCTTGGAGAGAGGGGTCCGTGTGCTCGTGGCCGAGGTCGAGGGCAGGTGGCCCTAACCTGCCTCAGTGGACCCAGGCCCAGCTGCACTTCAGTAGTTCTGCACCCTTCCGGCCACCTCACCTGCTGCCATTGGCATGTAGACCAGAGACCGTGGGCTTGAGGGGTCTGAGCAGGATCTGGAAACTGGGGGTGGCCTAGAAGGCCGGGAGAGGGGTGTACCCAGAAGGTGGTGAGCAGATCCCCTCTCCTCCTGGCTGTGCTGGGAGGACTGGAGCCTCCAGACTGGCTGGGGCTGCGGCGTTGCCTCTGGCCCGTGCTGGGATGAGGACCACTGGGCTGGGAGCTCGAGCCCTCTCCCCGGGAGGCTGGTGCCCTATGCGTCAGAGGGTTGAAGGAAGTGAGCCCCCCACCCCCGCCCCAGTGGTAACGGATCCTTACCTGAGTGGTGACAACAGATTCCCTGGGCCATTGTGAAAGAGATGCTCTCTTCCTGATGGCCCAAGCCCCAGCCCCAACCCCCCCACCCCCCCAACCCCACCCCTGGGCCACAGAGCCTCCACACCCCCTGACTGGTCCTGCCCCTCCTGCCCCACAGGTACCTGGGCCTGCAGGTGGGCTACAAGGCGCTGGGTGCGCTGCTGCTCCTATTCATCAGCTGGCGGGTGAAGAAGAGCAAGGAGTACAATGTGCAGGAGAAGGCTGCGGGCCTCATCTGACCCCTGACCCTCGGCCCAGCCACTGCCCTGCTCCAGAAAGTGGACCCTGCCCCTCCACACCTGCCTGTATTTACTAATGTTAACACATCATTTCCGTTTAGTTTTTTAAATAAGAGAAAACCCCAGGCAGCATTTGCCCTCCCTGCCTCCTATGCCCCCCTCCCCCCCCAGGATTCCTTAGGTCCACTGTGTACCTGGGCTGGATGGGGACTGAGCTGGAAAGCTAGGTCTTCCCTGGCTCCGTGGGAGGCACCCCCATGTGCCCAGGCGCTCCTCAGTGCTGGGTCCCCCAGCAAGGATGCCCACTGAGGCAGCCTTCCTCCCCCACCCCCCTGCTGCCACCGCCCCAGCCTTGTGGGTGGGTTGGTTTCCTAAGTAGAGAGAGCAAAGGGGTATCTTCCCAGAGGAAAAAAGGAGAGCGCTGGGTTATGGTTAATGGCCAGAGGCAGGCTAGGGGAGGGAGAGCCTGGCTGTAGCCCCCTTTGTGCCTCAGTTCAGCATCAGAACCCAGGAAGGACTGACCTCCTTCCACTCAGATCTTTGCTTCCTGCCCCAAAAGGCCATTTTGGAAGCTGCCATGTTGGGAAGTAGGGCCAACTGGTCCCCTCAGTTACCCCACACTCAGGCACCAGAGCAGGGACCAAGACACCCCAAGGGCAGGTCATCCAGAAGTTGTTCCTGTTAACTCTAGATCCTTCTGAGCTAAGAAAGCTGCACTGTGGTGAAGACCTGAGGAGGGCTGTGAAGTGGTCAATAGCCCAACCTCCCACAACCTCCATGTGAGAATGAGACCACTCAACTCAGAGTGTTGGGAAAACCCTCCCCAAGTTGCCTTGGGAGCAGATGAGGTGGCCACACGTGGGCATCCCTGTCTGGATGGACTTCACCCTGTGTGCCAAAAAGACAGGTGGTCCAAGATGTCAGCAGAGCAAGTGCTGAAGCTGAGAGGGTACCAAGGGCAGCCAAGCTGGATGGTGAGCTGCAGCCCACAAGAGAGGCCAGTGTGGTCAGCTTCCCTGGCTCCAGACACGCCTGTATTCATCAAAAAGATCTCACCTCTTCTCACTGCCCCTCCTGGGGCCTGGGTTGAACGACCTCACTGTTGTGTGGTGAAGGTTGAGAGACGTCTGCAAAGGAGGCCTTTCATCAACAAATATTATATTTATCGCAGACCAGCTTTGTGCAAGGCAGCACTAGTACATGGCTCTCCACTGAGCTTGCCTACGATCTCCCTCACCTCCCTCCGTCCACACTGGGCCTTCTCCCAGAGTGTGTTCAGTAGGCAGCAGCAGGGAGGCACAGCACAAACCCAGAGATTGTCAACAGGATCTTGACCATCTATGTCCCACCAGATGGCCCCTGCACTTGGCCCTTTGCCAGACAAAGACCTGGCTCACTGTGTCCTCTGGAGCAGCTAGGAACTGGTTATGGCTATACACGGCTCTCTTGAGTTCCAGTCCTCTTGGAAGAACCCTCCAGAAGCATATCAGAAGCCATCTCTGGAAAGGGGTCCTATGGTGGTAAGCCAAAAAAATGTATGCCAGTGGCCAAACTGCCATGAGACCGAAGTCTTTGTGAAAGCCACTGCTGCACATGGCCTTGTTTCCAGAGCCACCATGCTTATTTCCAAAGATCTCACTCAGGAAGGGAGAGGCTCCGTGCAACCTCAGGGGCCAGTTTCAGCATTTAAGTTGGTTCTGCTTGGAAAATGATTCCCGGAAACTAATCCTGGTCCTTCTCTCTGTGATTTAACCAAATCCTGGAGGCACTGCCCTTCAGCTGAGCTCACGAACAATGAGTGCCAACCTGCAGATCTTGGAAGATTGGTTGCCCTCCCAAGGCTTTATTCTATTGTGATATTGCTATTAATATATTATAATTTTGCTACTGATGTAACTTAGTCATGAATTTGTACTGTCATCTGTATTTGTCAGAGAATGATAGATCCTGTATTTTCTGGCCAGAGGAGATGCTCATGCCACATCCACAGGGGCCCATGGCCATGGGTATTGGAGGTAATACGACTCTCAACCCATCTGTCTAGTACGGAGCAGGTGGCAGGTGCTTCTTGTTCCTTCAGTAAAGTTCTACAGGTAACTGTCAAAGACCCACAGTGCTGGGCTGTCAGGAGGCCTGGTCCCTGCCTTGAGTTTATATCCATAAGTAGAGTGAAATACCAAATCTTGGATCTTTGGAAATAGCTAAATCCATGATACAAATCAGAATTAGGATCTTAATCATCGTTGGTCACTTGGTCACAGCCATACTACCACTCCCACAGCAAACCTTTCCTCCTGATGGCCAGCAGAGAATATAATGGTGTCACCTTCATTTCACTTCTAGAGCAAACACTTCTAAAGCTGAACAAACTTCCTTGAGTGCTGGACACTCATAGAGGGTGTGATTAAAATACAGATTCTCAACCCCTCCAGCCAGCCCCCAAGGCTATGGGAGTGGCCCCTGTAACTGACCGTTGTGAGTGGTCCCTAATCCCTTGTGGGGTGTCATCGGTACAGCAGAACCTTGGGGCCTTATGCTTAGGCCATTGAGAAATTTACAGACTCTGTAGGCCTTTGGTAGGTAAAAGATGACAAGGGAAGGGGGGCCAGTTAATCTGATTTCCTGGGTGGCCACAGTCAGGAGCCATCGGGCATGAAGAACAGCCCAAGAGCTCGCTGTACCGTATGAAGTTCATACCACGTACTGAAAGTGGAACCCTCACTCTCCAAGCTTGAATGTGCAAAAAATGTCACAAGTGTTCTCTAAATTAGTTATGTTTGACTTCTCGCTGTCATCCTGTTGACTGGCTGGAGATTTAGCATCGGCCATCCTCAAGCCTAGTCCCCAAAGCCATCCACAGTCCCGTGGGTCCTGCTAGTATGAGTCTCTGGTCCTTTCCCAGGCTGAGGCTCCCTGCTTCCCTCTGAGCCTGGAAACCCTGCACCCTGCAGAGGCTGGTGAGGGGAGGGCCCAGCCCTAGAAAGCCCACCCCTCTGCTCCATTCCCTCTGCCAGCATGATCCAGCCCCTCAAGGGCTGAACAGAAAAAGCCATAAAAGGAAGGGTCTGTAGGCACTTTTTATCTCATTCTTCCTGGAACCTCCTTAGCATAGGAGTGGGAAAATGCAGTGGAAATCAAATACCGTATCTCCACAAATTATGGCCCCATGAGGGAGGCCAGACTGGTCCTAAGACCCCTTTGAGGATGAGGAATCTGAAACTGAGGAAATCGTTGTGGCTGACTTCACCCAAATGACACCTGGCTGGGTCTGGATGTAAACCAGGCCGTCTAGATCCTTCCATTCCAGCCCCAGCTGCAGCCTCAGCCTCCCTGCTGAGATAATCTGAAATAGGGGGAGGCCCCTCTATTCCCACTGAACTTCCTGGTGGCAGGTGGGGGAATCTACTGAGGGCTCTCTCAGGTGGGAAGGACCAGGTGCTGCCTCATTTACCCGCCTTCTGTTCAAGTAGCAAGAATGTCACATGTGCTCATTAAGCAGGGCCGATTTAGCCCCATAGCACCACGAGTTACAGGAGAGTCTCGGAGAAAATGGACAAAGAGGAAACAGCTTTCAGGAGTAAAGGCCTGGAGAGCTGCACGCAGACAAACCTTGAAGGGTGACACCTGGTGACGGGTTAGCAGATCCTCGCTTAGGAAACAAAGCCATTTTGTGATTTTCTCCAACCGCTCGCAGAGGTGGAGAGGGACAGCTAAGCTGCGGGCTGAAGCCAGTCAGTCTCAGACTGTTATTAAAATATCCTATTACAGATTCCCAAAGTGATGAGATTGGCAGGGGCTCTGTGTGTGTGCGTGTGTGTATGTGTGAGAGAGCCCGCGAATCCAAAGGAGAAATCGTATCTTTCCCAACCATAGGAACTACATACCCGGGGAAAATACCCATCCCCTGCCAGTAGCACCCCATCCATTGTAACCTCTCCTCAGAGATTAAATATGTAAACAGGTCCCGGGCAAGCCCTTGGCAAATCACAAGTGAGAGAAAGCTTTTCTCCCTTGACACGCCCTGCCTTTCCTCCCCACATGACACAGGTCGCCCCAGCTTGCCAAAGCCCCTGCCCCCCAGGCACCTGCCGCCCCTCGATGTCAACAACAGTGACTAAAACGCACAGGGATCCGTACAGCTCACAAAGCCGCCCAGCCACTCATCTAGCAAGCTCCCCTAGTTGCAATTGGGTCAGGACAGGCTGGGCCGGGCTGCGGTGACCTCAGCGAGGTGCCACGTGACATAACGGAGGTCATATCTTGCTCACCTAGGGTCTACTGTGGGTCTAGGTAGCTCTCCAGGGCAGGGGCTCAGTAATGCAGTCGGCTTGGGGGCCGAGGTCTCTCTGTTTCATCACATGCCACCCCAAACTGACAGGGCAGGGCAGCAAGTCCCCAAAGGTCTCATGCTGGTAAGTGGATATTCTGGAAGTAATACGCTCCACCTCTGCTCCCAGCCTGTTGGTCAGAACTTGCATGTCCCTGCCACCCCTGTGTGCCACACAGCTGGGGAAAGATGAGCCTGTGAGCTCAGAAGAAACAAAAAGCAGGTAATGGACAACAGTGCTAGCATCCTCTACCACTACGGATGAACCGGGGACATGGGTGCTCCCAGGACACTTAAGCCAGCTTTGTCAGGCTTTGTCAGGGGGCGGGAAATGTTTTCTGAAGGAGGCAGCATCAGTGCTGGCTCTGGAAAGGTGAAGAGATGATCTCCAGGCAAGGCCCAGCCCACAGGCAGTTGGCAGAGGGATGGAGAGGTGGGGAAGGAAGCAGAGCTGGGGTGGCAGCTGAGAGAGATGCAGGGAGCCAGGAAAGGTTCTCTTGAGGTGGGAGAGATTTTCTAGGGAGGCTGAAGAGCCAAAGAGAAGCACAGCTGTCTCCTTCCTTAGGGAAGGAGGAGGGGATGAGGCAATGTGCACTAGAGGAACCTCACCCAGAGCTTCCACCAGCCCTCGGAGGCCTGTATGGCCAGTCGTATCCTCTGAATGGAGAAAATGAGGCCCCTTCTAGTTGTCACTTGTGCCTCCATTTATTCATTTAGTACCTGATACAGATGACGGCCAGAGATGACAAACACATGGTCCCCAGCCTTCGGGGACATATTAGGAGCCAGAAACAGAGGGCAGAGTTCAAGTGCTATGAGCTCATTTGGTTGAGAGATCAGAGAAGGGGGTTGATCCCAGTCTTGCAGGATGGACTGGATCTCAAGAGACCGCATGGTCCAGAGACATTCCAGGCAGAGGGAAAGGAGCAGAAAAACCTGGGCAAGCTCTGAGAAACCATGGACACAGGACCCACCAAGGAGATAAGATATAAGGCCTGGAGAGGCAGTTGGATCCAGGCTTAGAGGCTGCTGGAGGGTGTTGAGAGCTGGCTTACACCAGGCTGTTGGCGGTAGGGCCAGCTAGGTCCCAGGGCCTGGGTCAGGGCTTGGGAGGGGTGCCTCAGAGCCCCAGCCAACCAATCCCAGGAAGGTATTTCTTTTTTTTTTTTTTTTTTTTTTTAGGAAGGTATTTCTAGCACAGGGTCTCTTCCCAGAGTCTACACTGGAAAGGAGCTCCTGAGTGGACCCTGCCATACCCGCAGGGGGCTGTCCTTTCCATAATCCCAGTGCACACTGGCCCTGCCCAACACGCTCACAGGGAGCCTCCACCTCATGTGCTTGAAGGAGCCACCCACGTGCAGCCTTCCTCTTGCCCAACGCTCCGAGGCTGCCCCAGCCCAGGGTGGCGTGGAAGCCACTCTCTCCCCATCCTTCCCCTCCCACCTCCTCTCTATGCCCATCTAGGCCCTGGAGCCCCACGCCTGCAGCTGGGAATTGGAGAGGCTCAGTGTCAGGGCCAAATAGGGCGACTAGTTTAAGTCTCCCAGTGTTGCCAACCCCCTTCTCTTTACCCTGTGGTCTGTCAGTGTGAGATAGAAAGTCTGTCCCCTTTACAGACACCAAATCCACAGAAGTGACCTCAGAGGTCCCAGATTGGAACCAATATTTGTTTAAACCTTGGTCCTCATTACACCTCACTACCCCTAGCTTCCAGAAGAGGAACAGCGACGGCTGGATGAGACGGAAGCTCTCCCTTTGGGTCCCCACTGGGAAAGGCCCCAGGCCGATTTCACACCGTCCGCATCTGGCTCCTTGACCCAAGTGGCCTCTCCAGACGCACTGAGGTTTCAGAAGGGCTCTTGAAGCGCAGAGTTTCAGCAGCTCAGGTGTGTTGAGCGCTCAGGCCACTGTCCCAGGTGCTTCAGACAGGTTTGCACCTTGAGCCAGCGCTGCAGCGCTGCAGCCCTGCAAGATGCACTCAGCGTGGCGCTTCTCAGACGCGGATCCTGAGACGCGGCGCTGCCCTTCTCAGCGAGGGGGCGCGCGGGGAAGGCGGGCGCCGGCCGAGGGGCGGTCGGCCACCAGGGGGCGCGCCCGTCCCCGTCCCCGTCCCCGTCCCCGTCCCCGTCCCCGTCCCGGTCCCGGTCCCCGGGCCCTGCCGGAGCCGCGGGAGCCCCGGGGACGCAGGGGTCGCGCGCCAGCCCGCTCCGCGCCCCGAGGGGCCGTCTGCCGGGGTGCGGGCCGCCCAGCCGCCCCCTCCCGCCGCGCCTGGGTCCTGCGCGCTCCTCACGCCGGCCCCGCTCCCGCACCGCCTGCACCGGCCACCCCAGAGCATCCCGGGGGCTGGGCCCCTGCTCAGGGTCGTGGCCTTGAGATGTCCCTCTGTCCCGCTCCGCGACAAGGCACCGGGTAGTCTGTTTATCTGCATGCTCAGTACGAAGGTGTAGTGAACCCATTAAAGAACAAGGGAAGCATGGTTTGTCTCCCTCCCTAATGTTTCCCACTCAGTTCCCCTCCTTTCCCTTATAATCCTTTTCACTATGCCTTATATTCCACGTATGAGT